CTTCGAAAGAGGTGGAGTGCCTGCGAAAGGGGGCAGACCCAGTCGGGGACGAGGAGGAGAGTTCTACCGTGGTGGCCGTGGCTACCGGGGTACGTACACTGCCAGTGCTGGACCAGCTGGCGGTGGTCGTGGTAGGATGGGAGCGAGGAGTGGGAGAGACTACCGCTCCTCTACTGGGGGCGGCCACCACCAAGAAGCTAAGGGTGACGGATCTGGTCTTCGGCACGGTCAGGACCGGTCTCACCATAACCCGGCAAGAGTGAGGAACCGCAGCGAGACCCGGAGCGAGGGCTCAGAATATGAAGAAATCCCCAAGAGGAGGAGGGAGCGAGGTTCGGAAACGGGCAGTGAGAGTGGGGGCAGTGACCTCGGTCACTCTGACAAGGAAGAACACCAGAAACCCAACTCCAAGAACTGTTCAGAGAACGCCGGAACCACGGGGAACGTCTCTTCAGTGGCGCCCAGAGTTTCTCAGGCTCGCGTATTCACCCCCAGGGGGGTTCCCTCCAGAAGGGGCCGGGGCGGAGGCGGTGGAGGGGGAAACATGTACAGGGGCAGTGGCACCGTAGGAGGGCCTGTTGGGGGTCACCGGGTCGGACCTGGCTCAGGTTCTTACCCTGGGTCATCAAAGTCTGCCGCTTCAGGCCGGAAACAGCAAGGTCCACCTCAGACCTCTGGACCCAAAGATCTGGGTCGAGGAGGGGGCGCAGGAGAAAAGAAGGACAAGGTGGTAGATGGCGGTCAGAATCAGGGGGCCAACCTGCCTCCGCCACCTTTACCTGCTGCGACGCCTCCTGCTGTGGCGTCCGCTGAGAACGGAGGAGTGATCATCCAACAAGCTGGAACCAATCCCGCCCCGAACTCAGGAGGCCCGAACGCCCCTCCTCATCCTGCGAACCGGGGCCACCCTCCCGGTGGATTCGACCGACCCCCAAGGCGACGCCGTCATGGCCGCTCTCAACACCAGCAGGACAAGCCTCCCCGCTTCCGCAGACTGAAGGAGAGAGAGAACGCCGCGCGCATCAACGGCGGTGTCGGCGTCATTGGCGGTGGCAGACCTTCGTCTCCTTCCCTGAATTCGGTTCAGGACAGTAACGGAGCTCCGGCGGCTGCCCCCGTCGCAGGAACCACCCCGAACCACGGCTCCACTATGAGCACCAATAACAACAACAGCGGCGGGCAGCCCAATAACACAAACAGCCACCACCATCACCACTACAACCAGAGCAACGCTGCCCCAGCCCACGCCCAACACCACCACAACCACGGAGCCAAGTCTCCGGACTTCACCAACCAGAACTCGGACCAGGCCAACGAGGAGTGGGAAACCGCCTCCGAGAGCAGCGACTTCACCGAGTTCAGAGACAGGGACGCCGGAGGGGGGAAGTCCTACGTCTCCCACCATCACCACCACCCGGGCAGAGGCGGCGGTCTGGTGGATCGAGATATGGCCGGTAAAGAACCGTCTGCGAATAAACGAAGCTTCTCCAGCCAGCGCCCCAGTATGGAGCGACAGAACAGGAGGGTCAACGCCGGAGGAGGCGGAGGGAGAGGCCCTCGCGGCCCCTCGGGCGGCGGCGGCTCCGGTGCTCCTGCCAACGGAGGTGGCAACCGCGGGGAGAAACGTGGGAACTGGCCATCGCCCAAAAATAGGAAGTGATGGAGTATTAAGATGGGTTGTTAGACGAGCCCACACACCCACCCTTCCGTCTTAATCCCTTCTGATTGTTATTTTATGGCTTATCTGTTGACACCCCTCACACATTTGTGGATCGTGCCGTTTTATGGAGATGGTATTCATGCTCACTTCAGCTGTTCCTTTTACATCCTGCGTACCGTCCGTTTATGTAGCGCTGTCTCTTTGTTTGGTCTTGCTCTTCTTTATTTCATGGACCCCCTTCGTTTTCTTTTTAAACGCCCTTTAACAAACACTGAGAAGCATGTGGCTGTATCGCTAAGCTATACAAAGCACCAACACGGCAGAATTAAAATGTTTGCTTAGAAACCCTGAACATGTTTGGATTGGGTTAATTATTCTATTTATGCGTTCAGTTTCCACCACACTCTGACCTTGGGTGGGACTCTGGTAGCACAGGTCTGCATTGGTTCCCTCGTGGAGGCAGAAAACTCGTTTCTAATCACTTCACAACATAAAAGTTTGAGGGTTCTGGTGGTTTTGGTTGTATTTTTAGTTGGATTTCGGCCCCACACATCAACACATTTCTGTAAAGCAGGTCATTAAATTCTTCCCCGCTCACACTTTCCCCCTAATTCCTCCATGAAATATTGTCTGGTCACTCCTCGGTGCTCAACTCCACCTGCATTGATTTGTCGTTAGTATAAGTATTTTTGTTCCTTGTTCAGATAGATGGTGTGAATTTTATTTTTGCTCTAAATTGTTAACCTGCTCTGACATTTCAGTAGTTATTAGTTGCTCCTTTATTTTTATTTTCTCTCTGTAGGATTTCTTTTTCTGGCCTCATCGTACATAATCCTTCTCTGCAGAAATCCCACAGGCTGCAAAACCCCCAATTTGATCCGATGTGTTTACCCTGTGAGGACTGTACTGATAGCATGATGGCTTTATTTTAACAACCATTGTTTCCTCATCGATCAGCGTTTTTGTGTGTGTTTTTTTTTTTCCAATATAGTCTATTCTGACAGGAGAGGAAAAAAAACTCCTCCATCTAAACGCCGGTCAAGATGTTTATTGCAAATGTTTATTCTTCAGTAGATAATCGTATATGTTCGAATAAGCACTCCTTGTAGTATTTTTGTTTCATTTTCTCTTCCTTATTTTTGTTTTGTGGTAACATGTTCGGGGATGTTACAGGACGGGTTTCGCCGTCCGGGCCCACAGAACGGAGCCAGTGTTCCACTTTTTTAAACCAAATCCTCCCCTCTTTTCTCCGCTTTCTGCTGCCACGCAGAGATCCATCGCTCCTCGAAGGACTCGACATCTGGGGGAGGAGAGCGATTTTTCGCCCGGCACACATGCAGACGGGGCGGGCCGTTAACCGGGACAATGCCGAACATGCAGTTCACACGGTCCGTGGGATTTTTACTTGCAACAACAACAAAAAAAATGGTGACCTGGAGTGATGTAGGATTACACACATAAAAAGTTTTTTTTTTTTTAAATCACACGTAGGAGACGTAAAGCAGCTTATAACGGCATCCAAAGTGAACTAAAACGATTTCCTCTTTTGCATCCATTCTGTCACTGCTGTAAGTTGGGGCTCTTGTTTGTTTACTGACAATAGTTTTGAAGATTGTCTCTGGGATGTTGTGAGTAGGGCATTTGATGAACTGTGTGTGTGTGGGTGTGTGTGTGTGAGCGCGTGCCCGTGTGCATGGGTCGTTTTCTGGTGTTAATAACTCGGGGAAGGGGGGGGGGCAGGAACCGGAGGGGTTAAAGCGAACGATAAGCGCACTTTCTGCCTTGCTCGCCCCGCCCACCTCCCTCTCCTCTCCACATGTGATTTAACAGCTATAAATCTTCTTAAATACATCCACATGTATACATTCAGCCGTGTGTATATGTTCAGCATCCAAATGAAGACTCTCTGCAGTGGAGAATTGTCACCTTCTTTCCTGTAATTTAAAGCATCGGTTCTCCAGCAGGCGAGTGAAGTTGGACGTTTTTATTTTTCACTCTGAATTCTTCTTAGCATGAAAACACCGGTGGGTGCTGCTTGCATTGCCTGTTACTGGTTTATACATTGATAGCTGTACACTTAACACTGGCTCCAAGAGTCTCTCATCCCTCCTTCAACGTTGACGTGCACATTAATGTATGTACCCATGTTAAAAAGATGAACACCGGTCGTGTGTCCCAGCGAAAGATCTCTCAAAGATTGTATTATGTTTCCAGAAATACCGAGGTACACCGAGTGGTTCAAGCTGTTTTTAGCATTTATGGTTTTTAGTAAAAAAAAAACAACAAAAAAAGGAGCCGTAATATACACACATGTATGTATATTGGTATGTATCTAAGTTTTGTCTACCCCAACTTACATTCCCACAAACAAATGTTGCAAATTTTAGTTCAAGGGAGCAATGTACAAGCAGAGAAGTGTCTTATTATAATAAAGTTATACAGAAAAGGCAAAAGTTAAATAAACTACTTTTGATTTAATGGAAAATAATTGCAAGTCTCGTTATTGAAGGGACGTTTTCTCTGCAGCCGCATGAAGAACAGAAGTCTGGGTTCAGGTAACAAAATCAACAGACAAGCATCTCTGTGTAGACCTTTAAAAACAACATCTCCACGTTTCGTCTGCCATGTTTTTGTTCTTTCAATTTAACATCATAGGACTACAAACATTAAGTGATTCACTGCAGAACAGACTTGGTTGCATCTATTTCTTAAATATCACTAAATAAAGCAAAAGTGACAAAAATCCTGACAAACTTGACCAACCTGGAAGTTTGTCAGTTGAAGTAAAATGATGGAGCAACCAACTGCCTGGAAACTCGAGCATTTTATGCTTCTTATCTGGTGAAAATATGAAGATTTTAAATTTTTCAGGCAGATTTTGAGTACCCAGTACCTACTTCTATGATGTGCTTTACTGGATAGAAAACACCATAGCAATGCTGCATTGATGCAGTAATTAATGCTAATTGAGCCCCGGACAAGTGAGATTTACTCAATAGTAATATGAGTATTTTCACAGGGATTCCTAGGTCTTTATAAATATGTAAAATATTTTTAGGCTATATAATTTTCAAAAACCTGTAAACATCCGTTGTTTGTCTAACATCCAACTCGTCATACGTTTTCTTCATTCCACAGATTTTTTAAATATAAATTTTAATTTTCCTACATTAGAATCATTTTCCATAAATGTATTATGGTTTATCCTCAATAGTAGACTAAAAATGGACTAAAAATGTTATTTTTAGCCACTTTAAAAAATATGTTGAATCCCCACTAGCGTTGTACTACTGGAAGCTGACGAAAGGCGGCAGCACGGAGCCGTCTGCCGCCACAGGGAGAAGAAGATTCTGCTTAGTGAACCGGGAGGGGGTGTCCATTTTATTTACTCTAGAGAGACGGCTTCATAACTGAAAGTCGGCTCGTCTCTGGCTTTAAAAGTAAAAAAACAGGTACGTATTTATTCTGATCGGACTGGGATATTTAATAAAAAACGGAAATATAAGTTGGTTCGAGCGGAAGTCGGTCTTTAGCTTGAGGCCTGTTTTCTGTCCCTGCGCCATTAGCCGGTTTTAGCCTAGCGAGCTAACATTAGCTTGAGCAACCATAAATGTGATTAAAACACATTTATGATCAGAATAAATCGAAATATGTTGATTTACATATTGCGATATGTTTGCAAAAATGTCGACAAAAGTTTTGGTTTTTGAAAATAAACCTTCACTTCTGACTTAGTTGTTTATCGTTAGCCATTTTAGCTCCTATACAGCCGATATGTTTTGCGTCAAGAGTGCTGTTCTCTATCAAATTCCTCTTTGACAATCATTTTTATGAGCTTGCAAAAGGAAAATATTGCACTACTTCATTATATTTTAACCCAAAAGTAAAATGTAGTTATCCAAGAAATAACTCAATGAAGGGTAAACAAGTATTTTATGAAAATGTCACTCAAGTTCTGAGTAACTGACCATAACTTATTTTATTTTTTTAAATTATGACACAGATTTAACTATAACGTTATGTGGTATTTTGATGAGGTAGGTGCAAAAAACATACATGATTACAAAACAACAAAGTTATTAGAAGAAACGCTTTTCTAAATCAAAATTCTTCAGTATAAATTTATGAAACCAATGATCACAGTATGTAATGTGTACATATTTGTTAGAACAGGGTAAAGTTCTTTCATTGACTGTATCATATTTATGGTATTGGTTTCCAAATGCTCCCAGCAGATAGAAATAACTTTTAAATTACAAACTCGTGTGAAGTAAGACATCTCATTTCAACATAAACTGCATTTTATGTTGCAGTACTTCATCATAATATTACTCAATTTAAAATATAATGTTTGGTGCAGTAAAATTATTCCATAAAGTAATTTTTTTTCCAAAAAGTTACTCAGGTAAATGATTGATTAACCTCGGGTTAATGATGTGTTGCATTCATTCAACAGCGAGGAATGGGAAACATAACGCCCACTTCATTTGACCTAGTAGTATTAGTAGCTGCTTAATCTTAAAAATTGTTACTGTAAGGTTTTTTTGTGGTTTCTAGATTAACACATTATTTAGAAATATTTCCAAACTGTTTACCTGATTTTTGCTTTTGGTTCTGATTAAACCACAGCACTTAATGGTTTGTCCGCTTCCTGGTGTAGACTTTTAGAGATGAGCAGTTCAGAAGAAGTGTCGTGGATTTCCTGGTTCTGTGGACTGAGAGGAAATGAGTTTTTCTGTGAGGTAAGTGACACAACTAATCACTTGTTGACATTAAAAGATAAATTAAAAGACATGTTTGGTTCCAGATTATTTCAATGCTACTGTCATAATTTATTAAAACCATAAAATGCGACTTATTTAGTTTGTCATCTTCTACTTCCGATGTGATTCTGATCCTGATTCGGTTTAGTAAACATTATAGAACCAGAATTACTCTTTGCAGTGTCACCGTTCTCAGCGTCTGGCAACTTTTAGACGAATCTCTTCATCAGGGTTGAGTTAAATTGATGATGAGGTAAAAAAAAAAAAAAATCCATTAGATTCAGTCATATTGAATCAGAGGCTTGTTTAAAATTTGTTGATGCAGTCAGTGTTCATACAAGCTGGTAAAACTAGATTATAAGCATTTATTAAATGTATTGTCCAGATTCGCTTTGTTATGGTAAAAGAAGGAAATGGGAAGCTATTATGTCTGATTTTATTCCAAAGCCTCATCTTTTTGTCAACCAGCCCATCCATCGTTTATCTTTTTATCCCTCCCATCCATCCTTTCCAAGTATTTATCTCTCTATCATCAATCTGTTTATATTCTTATGCATTCATTTGTCTGATTCCTCTGCTCTCTGCAAAGTTTTATGCACATAGGCATAAAAAACAAAACCCTCTTTAAATATGTTCGACCCAGAACTCATGAAGTAGTAAAGTTAATCTGGGAAATAAATCCTTTAGTGGTTAAATTAATAATTTTCACAACATGTGACCTGGTTCATCCGGCTTTATTTCCACAGCCACAAAACTTAGGAACAAACAAAAACTGAAAAAGTTTGAAAGAATCTTTTATAAAATCAAACGGATCTAAATCGATGCTCTCAACCCGACCTGGTGTTTAGGACAAGTTTACGTTTGGTCTTCTGTGTTTCCAGGTGGATGAGGATTACATCCAGGACAAGTTCAACCTGACGGGCCTGAATGAGCAGGTTCCTCACTACCGCCAGGCCCTGGACATGATCCTGGACCTGGAACCGGGTCGGTACCGCTGTCTGTAGTAGCTCTGACTAAGATGTTTGACTTTCATCTGTTTTCGCTCATCGTTGCTTTTCAATGAAGCCTTTAACTTTTATTTTTCCCCAGTTTGCTTCAGTTTTTATCCTTTCCTCCTTCGTCCTCCTGTTAATCCACAATTTTTTAACCAGTAAAGATGATTTAACCAGTAAAGATGTTTTAACCTAGTAAAGATGTTTTAACCTAGTAAAGATGATTTAACCAGTAAGGATGTTTTCTCTTCGCCTTCAGACGAGGAGCTGGAGGATAATCCCAACCAGAGCGACCTGATTGAGCAGGCGGCTGAGATGCTCTACGGCCTCATCCACGCTCGCTACATCCTCACCAACCGAGGCATCGCGCAGATGGTAGGCGCCAAACCGCCGCTTTTATCCACCCGACACTCCGGGGTTGAAGACAAAATCGTAACTTCGTGCTTTGTTTACGTCAGATCTGCTGCAACTGGGAATTAGTAAAGAGACACTATAAAAAGTGAAATAATTGAAGCTTCAGTTGATCTTTATGCTGTCAGAATATCATTTATAAATGAATAAAACAGAAATGCATATAAAATACAATCTGAACCAGGAAAAAATTATGTTCAGTTTGGTTTTAGTGTTATTTTAATTTAAAAGAATGAATAACAGTTTAATCAGCTGTTTCTGAAACTTGTCCTGCAGAGCATAGATGTCAAACTCAAGGTCCATATGTTTCTTCATTTTTATGACTATTTTATGAGCATAAATAAGTTTTTGAAGGTTTGTCTCCGTGGGTAATTTACTGCATTCAGTAAATATTATTTTGCAAATTAAACAAATTGATGGCAAGCCTGACAGATCTTTAGAAATAATCAATTCTCTGCTCACTGAACCTGAATGTACGTTGTTAAATAAAAACTTGTTGTATTTACTCCAGAAAATATGAAAAAATATTCCTGTTTTTACATGAACTAATGTGGTTCATGTCAAAATTAAAAGCTAAATCTTGCCAGTTTGACTCTTTTGTTTTTTTTTTTCTGTCATCAGCTGGAAAAGTACCAGCAGGGAGACTTTGGTTATTGCCCACGAGTTTATTGTGAGAATCAGCCCATGCTTCCCATCGGTGAGTCAAAACGATGCTCTTCAAATGAAGAAGTTATTCATGACGGCCGTTTTTCACTCTTCTGTCATCTGAACGTTTATTTGTTTCATCCTGATTTGCCTCTGGAGTCAGAATAATTTCATGAAATGAAATTGGTGGAATTAAAAGTGTCGCCTTGATTAAGTTAATCTAGGAATAATTTCTCTGGTTTTACTTTTTATAGGTTTGAGTAAAATGAGCATTATTTTAATCTACTGACAACATGTCTCTGAAACACCAAGCAAATATTTAGTATTAGCAGAAAATGAGAAATGGTTAAATAACAAAAAAGACACAGAGTTCAAATAACGCAAAAAAAAAAAAAAAGTTAAAATTCATCAGGAACAACAATATTAACGTTTTGAGTCAGAAATCTATATTTGGTGGAATAACCTGGAGGTTTTTCATTGCAGTTAAAGAATTTCATTGTTTTTGTTTGAAACCATCTGGTTATGTTCTGAATGTTTCATTTTAATATGTTTTTTTTTTATTTTATTTTGGTTTTTCTTATTCATTTTCTCGATCAAAACCTCTTTTTGTTTTTGGTGAATAAAAATAAAAACTTATTTATGCGAAATCCGATATACTAAAACTCAATTGATCGGTAACAGATCCCAGTATTTTTTCCTGCACCTACTTACTGAAACTCTGTGGTTTTCTCTGCTGTGTAATTAAAATACTGCATTAACTTTGTCAGCTTCGCCTGCTGAAAATGGTGCAACACTTTCACTCTGCTTCATGTTCAGTGTCATATTGATGCTCTCTAAGACACTGAGACAGGCGTCATTATCTCTGGTTTCTAATATAAAATAAACACCTTTTCTATCGTTATTCTGACAGCTAATGTCGGCCCATAACATCCTGCATCCCTGTAAGAATAGAAGAAATAAAAATGTTTTCGTGTGGCGAACACCGAGTTGTTCCTCTCTTCCTCTGCAGGCCTGTCGGACATCCCAGGAGAGGCCATGGTGAAGCTCTACTGCCCTAAATGTATGGACGTTTACACACCCAAGTCCTCCAGACACCACCACACAGACGGAGCCTACTTTGGCACCGGCTTCCCCCACATGCTCTTCATGGTTCACCCCGAGTACCGACCCAAAAGGCCCGCCAACCAGTTTGTCCCCCGGTTAGTAACACATACAGTCGGCCTGAACGACTGTTGCAGTACTCAATAAAGAATTAAACACACGGATGGTCTGGCTGAGACTTTAGTCCTCTAAACCTGGAGATGTTCTTCAGGTGATAGAAGGCCGACTTTGTAACCGTCTTTATGTGGCTCTGAAGGTTCAGGTTTGAGTCCATCACTGTCAAAACTCTCAGAAGCTACCGATCTCTGTTTGACGTCTTTCTTGCCGTGTGTTTCCTGCAGTCTGTACGGCTTTAAGATCCACCCCATGGCGTACCAGCTGCAGCTGCAAGCCGCCTCCAGCTTCAAGAGCCCCGTCAAGGCCATCCGCTAGGAGCGCCGACGAAGAGGAGGAGGAGGAGGAAGAGCCAGGAAAGAAGCGCGTGGAGAGGGGTCAGCTGTATTTCCCCCGGTTGCCCCCTCGCCATCATGGAGACTGTATTATTTTTGCTTTAGATTATTAGCCCATATGAGGGAAAAAGGGTAAAGATTTAAGTGTGAAATAGACAGAAGAATAAAACACACACACACACTTACACAGCTATGATAATGAAACACACACACACTTCAGATTCACCGAACTCATCCGTGCCAAAACCAGAAGGTAGGAGGAAGCGGCGGGACGGCGGCGGCTTCGTGGCGCTGCAGTTTGTTTCTTGGTGATCCTCCATCTTTGCTGAGCTTCCTCTCCCGGTCGGATGCTGCTGGGAGGCGGATTCTAGTTTTATTTTCGTTTTCTCTTCATCTCTAGTCGACGCAGGCAAACATGGAGGCGTTTCTGAGGCGGTCTGAGTCAGATTTGATTATTTTGTTTTAATTATTTTAATTGCTGCGTAAGATCCTGCATGTGAAAGCAGCCGCCAGTGAAACCGCAGCTTCTGCTCTGAATGATTTCCTCCCTGCGTAGATTCAGCTTCGCCGCAGAAACAGTTTGACGTCGAGACGTCTGATCCGTTCAGAACCTGAAAACGCTGATAGCCGGTTTGTTGGACTCGCCGTTTGTCGACGCAGCTGGTTTTAGTTTGTTCTTTTGTTTTTGTTTGCTTTCCTCTGACAAGGAAATGTGACCTTTTGACCCTGCCGGCTTGTTTGGTTGTTATTTTTAGCTAAAAAACTTGAAGCTAAACTTTGCTCTGATTTCATCTTAATGTTTCTTTATTGTTAATAGTTTAGATTCATTTAGTCTCATTTTTTAAATATTAAATAATCAAACTTAAAATATGCCTTTTGGTTCGATCAAACATCCGAGTTTAACTTTCTAACTTCGGCACCTAGAAGATAAAAATCTAAAGAGGATTTATTCTCATTTATATTTGGATGATCTCCATCAGTTTCTTTAATTTGCAGCTGAGAGAGAAACCTGCGTCGTTTTGCAGATCGTTTTGTTTGCTTTAGTGTTAAAGTATAATCCTTAATCTGGATTAGACGCTACAGAAACTATTTTTGGGACTTTTTACAAACAAAATCGATCTCAAATTGATTTAAATTACTCATTCATTGTGAGACACTCCAGTCTATATTTGAAACATTTTAGTTTTCTTGTTAAAAGTCGATCGGCCCAAAAAAAACCATGAATGAATCGGGTGATTATGAATCAACGTTTTCATCCCACAAGGTTCATAAAAACTGATGGAAATGTTATGAAATATTTTACGGATGCTGAACTTTGTGGATTCTGAAATGGAAACGTTGGAGAGGTTTTGTTTGGTGCTGGGGTCACGGGGTCACTTCATTTCCCTAAACCGGCTTCAGGGCCTGAGCAGCTTTGTGTGGGTTTCTTCTTTCTGTCTCTATTTATAGCCTTCTATTCATCATTGTGATCAAACATCATGATTAATCCATTTGTATGTCTGCTGAACGGTTTCTGCTGCCCTGTGGTTCTGGTCCACGTTCTGGCCCAGATCAAACCAGAATAATGAAGTGTCGACACGCTGAAGGTTTTGCTAGAAACTCAATGTGGTGCCACTTTAGCCGCCTTAGAGTTTTTTCTTTAAGTTGATTTAAATTTTTTGGTTGCATTCATGGACTGACTTCCTGGTTTCTTCCTTTTTTGCCTCCGTAGTTGCAGTAAATGACTCTTAATTCATAAAATTAATAACAAAAACATAAACATGTCAAACTATTTCTGAGGAGTTCAACAATCTGAATCCATCCGCTCGTTCTTCTGCTGCACCGATCCGACTTCAGCCTCCCCTCCGTTATATTTATGTTGGCTCTCCAGACTTGTTTACGTTTTCTTTTCCCTTTTCCCCCCAGTTCTTGATCGATTCAACAGACCGGCCCCCCGTTCTGTGTGACTGCAACTGAGTTTTCTTTTCAAGACTTCATGGCACAAGAAAAACTGTATTTATGTGTCCAGATTTTAACTCCTGTTTGTGTTGTTGTGTTTGTGCGACTGGAAGGCTGAGCAGGAATCGGAAACTCAATAAACTTCTATTTTCTTTTCATGTCTTTTGTCTTGCCTGTTGAAATTCAGCCTTGGTGCCACCAGGTGGCGCTGTGGAGAAAGGTCAGATTATTTTCTGAGTTCTTGGTCACCATTTTGTATTTTACTGTAGCATAACTTTGACAGTGTAATATCTACTGTGATTCTCAAACTGTATTTCGATGTTATTTCTGCAAACGGTACAGAAATTAATATGCTAAACTCACATTTTTATATTTAGGTCTTTTGTTTCTTCTGAAGGCAGTCAAACTATAAAAATAAAAAGTGCATTTAAATGATTTGATATGTAATATTTCTGTCTTAAAAAGTGTTTTTGTGTGTGTGCATAAGGTACATGTGTAGGGAAAATTATGTACCAGTGAGTATTATTTACAAAAATTAAATATATTTGGTAAATAGACATATATCAGAGTTTTGTCTGATTCACAAGTTCCAATCATGCTTAAGAAAGTATTAATTTGCATAAACATTTTGTACTTTATTGGTAAAAATTTACATTTTAGGGCTTAGAAATAAATACATGTTTATGGGGAGCAATTTATTACCAACATATTTTCCACTAAAGTTGTGATGTTTTTGGACGTGCAGATTCACGTGTGACTCCTCTGTGATTTTCCTGCAGAGGAGAAGAAAGGGCGTTTTCCTGTTTTGGGGTGTGGCAGCAGGGATATTTCACACAACTCTTGACAAACAGCAGCTCAGTGGGTCGATTCCCACAGCATTAACACAAAATCACACGATTGCAGTGCAGTTGTTATGATTATTTTACAACCATAAAGCAGCTTTAACAGAAAATTAAAGCTGCAGGCAGACGGAGCGTATGGAGGCCGAGTCTCTGGGCTGCCTTTGGAAATGACTGGAACGTCTGGGTTTTCCTCATGTGGCTGCTAAGTTTCTGCAGTGGAAGAAGAGGAGGAGTCTTCCTCCTGACTCAGGATAACCTCAAACCACAGCCTGGGACCTTCCCTTCTCCGCCGCCTCCTGGTTTATGAGTTGTCTGAACGCCAGAGGAGTCACAGGCTGACGCGCCGCGCTGAGACGGTTTCTAAATGCAGACAGTGTTTGAGTTTGAATCAGATGCTGCAGTTGGGGAATTTGCCACACCCAGATGCAACTATTTGGTTTTGGACAACTTTTCTGTGGCATAGCAGTGTGAAAAATTAAAAAATGATAATAAAAACAAACATTTGAAGGCTCCATGTTAATTATCGCTCACTAATTTATCAGAAAATTGGATCCACAGAATATAATCTTAATACAGAAATGATTTCCAACATTTCAATATATCAACATATGAGCTTAATAAACGATATATCTAATATCTGCTCAAAAATTATTTACAAAAGACACTTTTGACCTGATGAATGGGCCTCATTGGAAAACAGATTATTAGATATAACTAAGTGATAAAGCGATAAAGTATTAGGGCCACGCTAAGAAAAAAATAAAGTAATCAAACTTCAGCTTTAATAACATGAAGCTACATCATTTTTAAAGTTGAATCAGTGAAAGTTTTGTAACAATTTTTTTGTCAAATGATGATTTCTTGGTGAATGTCATTTTGTCATAACGATTATGTAAAATTATCAAATTTTACATAATTGTGTATTGCTGTATTTAAGACAACAGTCATAAATATTCATGAATACGACAGTCGTATTCACAACCCTTCATTCATGAATACGACAGTCGTATTCACAACCCTTCAAATGAAGCGTTACCCTTTCCAGCAGCCATTGTACGGCGCATACTGCAGTAAAACCAGCTGACCAAACCTGCTCCAGTTCGGCTTTGGTTGCTAAGGAACGGGGAGGGGTTGCTAGGTAACAGCATTGATTTGTGACGTTTTGAAACTGCTCATTTTCCTGACATGAAAAACATCTGAATGATTTGTTTAAGCCATGGGTTTGTTTTCAGAAGCAATGAAAACACAAATGGAAGTATGTAAATATTTGTACTTATTTTTCATTACTTTGTAGAAATCAGTTTACATTTCAGATTTAAGGAGGTTTTTTTTTTTTTTATTATGATTTCTTTTGTCAGAAAAGATAAATTTAGTTGATTTGTGAAAGCAAATAAAGAGGTAAAAACTCCAAGCCGGTGAACTTTTTATTTCGATTGTTCAGATGTTTTGTTTTTTCTTTTGGGTCTCCGGGTGAATAAGGATTGGTCTGTTTGCCACACGCCTTCCTCCCAATTGTCAAAATGTTGAGAAACTCAGAGGATCTGTGGGCAAAACGACAGAGCGGCATTTCCCCGAGCCGACCGCTCCTCCCTCAGCATTTCAGCATCGTGACTCTGCAGAAGTCATTTCATCACTCTCCGCCCTGCAGCAGAAATCCAGATTATCGCAGATTATCACCAAATGACTCTCGTGGAATCAGAGTAACTTCCACGAAAATGCACAGCTCCATGAATCTGTTTAAACTCTTGTTGCTTGTTTTGACCACAACAAACATTCAGGGATGTTTGAGAGCGAAGCAGACGAGATGGGAGCGAAGCAGACGAGATGGGACCCGATCCAGAATCCCTCCCACCGAAAGTCCACTTGGTTCTTTTCCTCCTACTAAACTTTAAATGAGAGGAAACAGCAGGAACTTCCCATCCTGAAAGGCCCAACGTTGTTCTTCACTGACCAAGATGTACACTGCAAAAACACAAAATCAGCAAGTACTTTTTAAAATAGTTTTATAGAGCAACTAACTAAACTCTTAAATTAAATTAAGGCAAAACTAAGTTAGTTTTACCTGTAAACTAGAGTTACATTGCCAGACTATTTCACTTATAACACGAAGAAATTGTCTTGTAAGTAATTGATCAAGTACTTTTTCACCAATATTCAGGAATTACTGACTTAATACAAGCTGCCATTAACTTGCTGGTAAGTTAATTTAATCTTATTTTAAGTATAATAAGATATTTTCACGAGAAACTAGACAAAAGTACTCATCAATACACATTAATTGAGAATTAATTAATGTGTATTAAGCACGATATGCGCTTAAGGATCGGCTGATTATGAACCAGGACCTGCTGAACGGTGAAATGGATCCGTTAGATGAGCTTAAACAGGAACAACCTATGAAAACAGGAAAGTACAGAAAGTGAACTTAATTTTTTTAACTAAAACTATTCAGAACATGACCTTCTCTCACTGGAAACATTTCAGCTTTTGTTTCCCTTCGTTGACGTTTTAATTTCCTATTTTTCTAAAAAAAAAAATAAAATAAAAAACTCACCGTTTCATAAAAGTAGCAACAAATAAACATTTTTCTCTGTTCCAACTTGATTTTCAGCCGGTATCTCCAGGAGTCCAAAGTACTCAGATAAAATACTCTAGTAAAAGTAAAAGTACATGTTGGATTATTTCACTCAAGTAAAAGTAACATTTTAAATGTACAAAGGTAAAATGACTTTTGATAAGACAAACATACTGAAAAAGTTTTAGTCACAAAATACATTGCAGCAGGCTGAATCTGTTACCAAAATAAGAGCACACCTTTAAAGACAGTTAAACAAAAGCTCTCGGTTGGCCTTTATGTATTTATTATTATTTTTCTTTTGCTCATAAAAAGCTCCGTGTTGGTATGAAGATAGAAAAGATGAACCGATATGGTGCCGTCTTCTTCTTCTGTTTTGCAGAATAACACTTTCCTTTTTTGTTCCTGAGTTTTGAAGATTTATTTGAGTTTTCATTTTGTTAAATTGTCTGAATATATAAAAAGTTGTTAAAAAACGTTATACCGACAAAATGAATTTAATTTCTTTTCATCTTTGAAAATCATTTGGTGTAAAAACTCAGGACAGATTTAGAAAAACATTTACTGTTTTCCCAAAATGTTAAACTGAATAACAGTTTCAGTGGATTTTTTCCATTGTTATTTTTTAACGATCCGCACGCGTCACTATAAGGAGCAGAAAGTACAGATATTTCTATTAAAATGTAGGGAGTAAAAGTGAAAAGTCACCCAAAAGATTCATACTCCAGTACCTTAAAAATCTACTAAAGTAATGAAGTATTTTTACTTTACGCTTCTGTCACTGAGAAATATTAACCATAGACGTCCGAGTCTAAAAACACGGTTTGAGTAATGAAGAGATAAAGTAGCAGGACAGGAAGAAGAACGGGAAGCTGGAAACTCTAAATGTATCTGAGATAAAAACATGAGGAATCTGAGACGCAGGAACAAGATTATTTTCTGTTGATCTGCTTTGAGCCTCCAGCTGATCTGACACTGCACTAAAAAACGTGGCTCTGCAAACCCACCATGCGTTTCCCTTCCACCCATCTGTGTTTTATTCGCCAGAAAACCTTCTGGTTTAGATTTTTGCTTCGCTTACAGTTTCTGCCCGTCCTGTCCCCAAAATATTTTCAGTGACATCACAACTTAAATGGGACGTTTTTAGAGAAATTCACATTTTGCTCTCTTTTGTGCTTCTGTTTCTTAAATGAACATCCAAACATTTTTTGGCAGTAAGTCAATGTTCTTTCGGTGTTTGGAAAATGAGCCGTTTCAAAAGCCTCCTTTGAGGCACAGCGCCGTTACCTAGCAACCCAAGCTGAGGTCCAACATGTTTGGTCAGCTGGCTTTACCGCTTCATGCCCAGTACAATGGCTGCTGGAAAAGACGAGTGTTTTTAGAAACCACCTGCTGCGTTCTTGTTGGTTGTGCAGGAGTCTCCTCTTCTGCTTGTCAAAGAGATGCGGTTATGTAACTTGGCATCAGTTTGGAGCTTCTTTGGATTTAAAGTGACAGGAGCCTCTTAGCCTACTCCTTCTGAAGGGACCTCATATAGGCAGAACTAACAGAGTTTTGTGTTGTGTGGGCAACACAAAACATGTGTTGCCCACATGTTTTGTGTTTTATCTTTATCTTTTAAATAAATGGGTGTTTCAAAAGCAGAATCTCAGTCAGTTGATGTCTCGTCCTCAACAGTCGCCCTGAAACACTGATTCCTGCCTGCTAAATAAAAAATAAAACTTGAACTGTGACCTCTGCTCCCTGTGGCTCTCCTGTGGAAACTCTAACAGGTGATATCAAAATGAACTGCAGGAAGATAAGAGACAGTGGGTTTGTATTAATCTGCCATTTTGTTAAGGTTGAAGTGATGGTTTTATATCTTTTCTTTAAAATTAGGCAAATCAAAACCAAAAACTATCGTTTTAAAACCGTGTTTTATTTATCCACTGGATAAGAAAGGAATAAAAATCTCTGTAGCATCGCTAGAGCCAGAGCTTCTGCTGGTGGGAAAGGCGTTCAAAGTGAATATTTATCTCCTCTGGGTAAGATATTGAAGGCTTGTAACAACCATTTCTCCCATTTGTGTCTATGCCTTCATAAAAACTGAAATGGTTCCAGTTTGTGAAAATGTAGATTTGCTTGTATGTCCCAGTTGAATCACGGCTACAGAAAAAAGACATCAATAAACAAGTCATGTTTCACTCCAACTGTGAATATCTTGTTTCCGTCACCTGCTCTGATCCTCCCCCTTCAAATGTCGCCCTGGGCATCCGCCCATCTCTATCAGCCTCTGTTGATCACCTGTTAATCACCTGTTGGTTACCTGTTCTGATCACCTGTTAATCACCTGTTGATCACGTGTTAATCAGCTGTTGATCACCTGTTGGTTACCTGTTAATCACCTGTTGGTTACCTGTTAATCACCTGTTGGTTACCTGTTGGTTACCTGTTAATCACCTGTTGGTTACCTGTTAATCACCTGTTGGTTACCTGTTCTGATCACCTGTTAATCACCTGTTGATCACCTGTTAATCACCTGTTGATCACCTGTTAATCACCTGTTGATCACCTGTTGATCACCTGTTGGTTACCTGTCTCCCTCTGCGCTCCAACACAGCCTCTTCCTTATGTGGGCAAGAGCAAGAGCGCGCAGCACCACTTCCGGGACAAGTTGCCCCTCGCTGCACATGGGTGACTGATAAAATGTAAGGCAGCAGAGGTAGTTGCCCCTCCCCCACTGCTTTCTGCACGGTGACCCCCTCCCACATCCACCTGTGCTGAGCCCAGGATCCCGTGAAACCCGCCCGCCCGTCCGGTGACGTCCCGGTCCAGAAGGTGGAGGATATAAAAGCCGTTATGATCTTCCTCCCAGATCATAACGGTCTGAGTTTAACAGACACGCAGCGTCTTTTCCTCCGCGAAGTTTCCATTTGTTTGTTTGTTTTTCTGCACTTTTCTCCAAAGATGAACAGAATCGCTTTCATCTTCGTCGTGGGTCTCGCCTTTGCAGTCGGTAAGGAGCGGATCATTGATCTGATCAATGAATTAATCGAACATAACGGAGTTTCATCTGTCAGTTGATCAACTTTTCCCCTCTGCTATTTACTGCTGATGATTATAACTTGTTGTCTGGAGGATTTAAATCAGAATATTATGTGATTTTAGTTAATGAGGTCACATCATGTATCATTTATCTTTATGCAAAATAACACTTTATTTCCTTTTCCTTTGTTTTCACATAAAATGAGTTTCAGATTTAGTCTGATTGGTTTAGTTTACAGTCCAAACTTCTTCTTTTTTTTGTTTGTTTGTTTGGCTTCAGGTTTCAGGCTGGGTGTGTTGAGCTGACGAGTCAGACATAAATAAGATCAGGTTTAAAAAATCACAGATGCCTGAAGCCAGTTAGGAATGAAACACGTTAAAGATCAGGTTTGGGCGTGGTCCACTGACATTTTGATAACTGAAAGTTTGTGTTTTCTAGCATTGATTTATTTGGGTTTTGCAAATAAAGGTTTTCATAAAGTCCTTTAAGGATTTTAGAAACAAAAAACTGGCCTCCTTATGAGGAATAACGAGCTAAGATAGAGATCCTACAAGTTGTCAACGCTGGTTTATTTTGACCAGGTCATTTAATTTAGTTTAATGGGTTTCAGAACTGGTCTCTGTTGAAACCAGTTCTGAAACTGGAGAACAGATGAACTCATTTCATGTCCAACGATGTGACCTGAGGTGATTTTGATGCTGAAATTAGACAAAAAAATATCAGATTTGTAAGAAAACAGCTAATTTTAACAGTTGCTAACTGCTCTAACTGTCAGTTAGTGGTTGGTAGCCACCAACTACCAAGAGCAACTTAACGCTCCGATAAAACAAACTTCACATTTATAAAACCCTGTTACACATAAACATAGTACAGAATAAATTGCCTAAAAATGTTTTAAAACCAAGTGCTAACATTGCTCTTGGTTTGAAATGTCAAACCAAGTTGTATGGTTTGACATACAACTTGGTTTGTATGTCAAACATTAGCTTTAGCTGAATGTTTCAACATGAGAACCTAGTTTTTATGTTCTGGAAACCAATAAATCAGTCAGAAATTACTCATTTAAAAAAAAAACACAAAACAGATTCAACAGTGAGAGTAATTGTAGTTGAATGACATATTTGCTAAGCTAAAGCCAGCAGATTTTTTTTATTTTGTAGGCTAAAGCTAATGCAGCTTGCTAATACATTTGCTAATTCCAATATCTGGAGTCCAGTAGATCAGTCAGATTGTTGCTTTTTATTCGCACACATAAACACAATAAAGTGGGTAAGAAATATGTCACAGTCAAATGCTAACGTCAGCTTGTATCATGTGTGACGAGTCGGTTTAACCGTTATAGTTGGTTATAATCAGTGTGAGTAACTGACTGATGGATCTGTGGGTTTTCTGCAGCCTGCGTTCTGCTGGATTCACTTTAATGCTGCTGTCGCAGGTCAGGATGAGGTATCGTGTTTGAGGTTTTATTCCCACACTCTTTAAAATCAGTGAATCATGTCCCGACTTGCCTGAAAAATTCTGCAACTTGTTAAAGTTTTATTGTCAAATTCCTCAAAGCCAGAGGAGCTTCAAATATACTATTTGCCCTGCAGTCCATAGTGTCCCGGGTTGGTTTTGTTCCTGGGGTTTCTTCCGCCATCTCGACTCGTTCTCATGTTTCAGGCCACACCGTTAGAGAGGGGCAGTATATTTCCATCTCCTCTGTTTTCCTTTGCTCCAGGTCAGGGCACTGACTTCACTCCCACATTGCTGAGCCTAAATATGTGTTACTTTATGACTGAAGATTGAGTCACAAATGCAGATAATGATGAGAATTGATCAGGAGGTTTAGGGAAGTGGATGGTTTTATCCATGTTGGCTGCAGACATCAACATGTCACAGGCTACTGGGAGGTTTCCCCAAACAACTACTGGAGCAAAAATAAGCACAAAGTGTCTCCTCCTGCGAATGTTTAGGTTGTTATGTCACAGCTTTTCCAGAGAAGGAATGAAAAACAAGGTGGTTGTTGTTCAGTAGATCTTCTGAGGAAGCCTTGGGTGTGTCCAGTCACTTAAAAAACAGTTTAGCTTGTTGTTGCTTTCTTATGTTTGTACTTTAGTTTCTACTAAAAATCTCTTAATTCACTTAAAGTAAGACAAAAGTTACTCAAAAGCAACATTTCTGAAAGATATATGAGCAATGTTAAGGGAGTAAACAATCCCTTAACATTGATTAAAAAGTTCTAGTTTCACTGGTAGATTATTTAATTTAATGGAAAAACTGCATTATTATCAGTGTAATAAACTGCCAGTGGAGCTAGTACCTTTTTTGAATCAGTATTAAAGAATTATTTAATAAAAACAAGCTGCTATATGTTGCAGAAATGTTACTCGTAAGTCAGTTTTGTCTTATTTAAAGTGTATTAATCTCAGTGATGATAACAAATTTTGCTGGACAATAAAGTGTCCCAGAATTTATTGCGATAAATAATATCGTAATTTTGAGACCATTTCAAGTATTGGTGATGGCATAATCTACATTTAACACTTTAATATCTCAATAAATAAAGAAAACAAAAGAAACAACAAATGGGATGAATTATTTAGTCTTTTTGAACAAAATTATCCTTCACAAAATATCTAGTTGAGACCAAAACAAAGTTTTTGATAGAAAGAGAAAACGATAATGAGTAAACTTTAATTTATTGTGCTATCAATAGATTTAAAATACTTGGTCAGATTTTTTTGCAGTGTGGTTGTAGTGGAGTCTAAAGTTTTCTTTTAGAAAACATCTCTATTTTAGCTTTTAGTATAAAATATATTCTGTACAGATAATCTATTAGCAAACTAATTTAACACATATTTAAACAACTCTATCAGATTTTGAGGATATTCAATTTCTGTTCAGTGTAGCCCACAGATTTAAAACTGACTAATATTTGAAATTAATTATATTTTCATTAACCTTAACAAAACCCTTAGCATGATCCTGCCACTACTGTGTTTGGTATGCATTCTCCAAAGATGTTTTAGGAGAAGCTTCTGTCTTAAATTTGCATCAATTTTAGAAAAACTTTTTTAAATAGATTTCAGCTTTTAATCTTCATCCCATTCAAATCAAATAAGAAAAGTATTTAATCAGCACCAATGCAGATTAAATCACTGTTGTTTGTTTTTTATTGCAATGTACACATAATTATTTCCTCTTCACAGAAGCTTTGGAAACAATGTTTGCTCAACATTTCACGTGATCTTGTTTACCCACTGACTGGACCTAAAATGTTTCCACAGTCTGACTCATGGAGCGCCTCTCCATCTCCTCACAGTTCAGCTCATTCTCAAAGTTTCCTGGATTATTGTTGTTTTCTAATTTGTGTTGGGAACCAAGCCCTCTGGGCTTCACCTGAACGCAGCAACATGTATGTTGACACCCAAAACGGCACTTGTTTCAACTGGAAATGAACTGTTTCAAAGTGGTTGCAACACCAATGCCTCAGGTTGAACACATGCATAAGTGTTTGGTGCCTAAAAGCAGCCAAATCGATTCAGATTAGTTTGATCATGAATTAAACTGGTCATTTTGTTCCTTCTTTATTTTATTTTTTATTAATTTAACTACATCTGCTTTTATTTTGTCTGTCTTTTACATATTTTTTCTCTGAAAAGTTCATTTTAGTTTTGAAGCTTGCAGTTCTTGTGACCGAACACCAGGGGGCAGCATAGTACCAAGAACTGATTGGTGCCACACCTTTGATCAAAAACAGAAATAGTTTATATTTAGACTTCTCTCCACATACGGAAGAAAGTACACCCTTTGTTAATGTTGGGGTGTAATTATATAAGTAATTTGACCTTTTCTGGGTTCTGAATTTATTGTAATCCAAGTTTAAGTTCACAAAACTACACAAAAGATTCCACTTTGTCATTATTTATTAAATGAACATGGAGGGCCTTTCAGTGAATAAACTAAGTACACCCAGGTGACAGTGACAACCGATGACATCACCTCGATGGTGTGACAAAATAATTTATCTACAAATGGAAAATGTTTAATTCCAGAAACTTTCTGATGCAAAAAATGACAAAAACTTTTATATGTGATTTATGTGTAAAGTGCTCCTGTATACGCATAAATACAAACAACAGGTCATAATGACGAGGCTTTTAAAGACGGATTAAAATAGAAGTGGGCTGAGCGTCGAGCCTTGGGGAATCCCGCAGCTTGGTGAATTGTTCATGGAAGAGCTTACTGGTATTTAGAGAAACTAACAGGAAATGTAACAGGAAATGGTAGAAGAACCTGCCCAACCCAAGTCCAGTAACACCAACCAGGCCTCTAAATGTACTTACTTTACTTCTGTAGCTGTTTATGTGGTTGTCAGGCTGGCAATGTAATATTTCTGAGTATTTAAACATTTATTTGTTGTTTTATTTGATAGGAACAGATACAAAAAACAGATCAAGACGATATGATTCCTGCTTTATGGTGTTTGTAGCCAATTCCTGTCATTAGCAGCACCTTTAAAGGTTAATCTTAAATGCAGAGTTTAACCAGTAAAATGGTAAAAAATAGAAATACAAAACAATGTATTTAAAGCCATCAAATCAAAAACAGTTAAAATTTAATACAGTTTTTGTTCATCTTCATTTTAAAGTCAGTTCTGGTCTTAAAATAAGATGGAAGTGAATTTAATATGACCATTTAGATTATTTAGCTTAAAATAAAATGAGTTGTTTTGTCTGGATACAATATTTAAACACTGGAGGATTTTTAAGGGTAGATAAAACAGACGGGATTTCAGGTGTTGAAACGTTTCTGTAAAAAGGTTTCTGTATTTGCCTCTAATTAAATGTAAGCAGGTGAAGAAAGTTACTCATGTAAGAGCAGCACTACTTCAACATATTTTTACTCAAGTAAGAGTAAGAAAGTATTTGGTATAAAGTCAAGAAACTGAACAAATTATTATTTAATATCTAAAAAAATACATCATC